CCCCAAAACCCCAAAACCCCAAAACCCCAAAACCCCAGGTTTTTAATAAATATAGAAATTTTGAGAGTTGAAATGAGGAAGGGTAGTATAGTTAAGAGAGAAATAAGTTGAACGCCAACGCCTCAGCCAGTTGGGGCTGAAATAATTCAGTTAAAGCACTCAGATAGTAGAGCAAAGAGGAGAGACAAACTTACGCATAAAAACTCGAAAATATAAAGATTATCGGTAATTTAGTTATTAAAATCTATAAAAAGCTGATATTAGCTTGTACATTATTAAATGCTAAAATAGTTTAGGTAATCCAAAAATAAAGATTAATCGTCATTTGAAAAAGTCAGAAGGGTCTAGGGTTAAGCTGAGTGATTGTATTAAATTCAAGCATAATCATAACTTCGATTCGCTGTATAATAATTCTCAGACTATTTACAAAGAAGTAATCGAGAAATCATTATTTTCGATGTCAGCTCAGAAATCACAAACAAATAGTAATCATAAGTTAGCTGAAAGTCCGTGAAGTGGAGGAAATTTACGTGGGTCGAAGTATCCCAGTCAACCAAAACAAAATTAATAAAAAGATTAAGGCATCTAAGCCTCCTATCGATGCTAAAATGAGGTAAAAATTAAAACGATATTACTAATGCCAATCCTGAGTTTAGTAGAGAAAATATATCATAGTCATTAAACTCTCACATATTCCAGCTTTATATTTTCTGCTCAAATATGCATTTTTGAATCCATCCATCATTCATCCAAATTATAGAATAAGCAAGATGATAGAAAAGATCAACTTAACAACCAAATCTGAGAAGATGAGCGAGCTAACTCGAAAATCAACAGATCCAAAAGCTAAGAAGCACAATAGTAAGTATCTTCCACTCTCTTGCACCGAATGCATGCTTATCTGCTTTATTGGAAATCCAAAGAAATTTAGCAACAAATTACTTCTTTCTAATTAAAAATCTAACTGATCTTCTAGAAGAGGATATTAGAACAATATAATAATTGACAAGTAAGCTCCAGATCACCATTAGATTCTTTAATAAGGAGATTGATGAGGAGAGTAGTAGAATGGCAAAAGATTCCTTCATCCAAGGTCATCTTGACAGGGTTGAGGATAGAAAACAGTATTTTACTGGTCTTATTTTTAGTAAATCTAAGTTTGATAAAGTTATGATTAAAGACATTATGCATAATGAATTTATGGTAGACAAATACAAACCACCCAAGGTGATTTAGATGGTAATTCTCTAGAGCGGATTTAAGAAAAAGGAGTATTCAACTAAGAGGATAAAACTCAAAGCTCTAAGGAGTATAGATAAGACACTCACTTCCTTACACAAGAGGATACAGCGATCTTTGGATAATAGATCCATGGTCTTTACCTCAAGGTATTCTTTGTTTCACTTTAATATAGTAAAAATAATTTGAAAATTAGTAATTCATCAACCAATGGCAATTCTTTTCCCAACATTGTTGATGATAGCTTATGCTGAAAGAACATTTTCACTAGCAACCAGAGCTTGTCCTCCATAACAGTCAAAACCTCGAACGCAAATGTAATCAAATTCCCTAAACCCTAGCCTCTAAACATGTTCAGAGACAACTCTGAGACACTGAGCACTCACCTACCTCCAAACTACCCTCTGCCAGCCTCTAATGAACACAACTTCCTTAAATCCACCTTCTGCAAATCACTGACCCGCTTCAAAGCCCCAATGACCCAACCTCATGTCAAAAGGAGGTATGTTCTTGCTCACCTTCAGATCGGCTTTTTCTCGATACAAAAATGCTACACTTGAAAAATCATCTCAAAAGTGCCAAAATCCTTCAAATTCCCCATATTTCTCTAAATTTTTGAAGATGGACAAAGACCAAAAATCAGCTATTTTTAGAAGGAGGACTCCTTCTATCAGCAAGAGGTAAGTTAAGGGGAGGAAATGGGATGGTTAGTTTGAGGATTGCCAAATCTTGGTGAATTTTACTGATGGAATTGATAGGAAGACATTTAGGATAGAATTAAGGTAATAAGGGAGGGTTTTTGCAAAGGTAGATATTAGAGAGTTTTTATTAGGGTAGTAGACACTTTGCAACAAAAGAAATGATTCTTTAATCAAAAGCTTCAAATGCCATAAAAAGTCTTCCGATAAAATCCATTTACCAACTAAATTCCATAAAAAATCAAAATCTCCTATTTCTCTTATCTTATTAATCCCTTCTTCTACCAACCTCCTATCTCTTCTCAAGCCGTCTATTCCTCTTCAGCCTCCTACTCCAAGCATACCCCTTTATTCCTTAAGCCCAAGAACATCTAAATTTTTCCCTGCCAAGCTGGGCTATTAGCTGAACTCCGCCAGTAGATTATAGCCTCTCTAGCCCAGAGAAGTTCATCAGTGCTATATCATTAGCTGATGCTCAATAGCTTAGATTAATGGGTCATGGCGTTTTAAAGCCTTTTGGAAATTTTAGGGCCAAAAGTAATAAGCTGAAAATATAGCATTCCACTGCCCAAGAGTTTACACAGATTGATGAAACTTGAGTAAATATTATTCAATTTTTAATATTATATTGGGGTTTTGGGGTTTTGGGGTTTTGGGGTTTTGGGG